TAGGATAATCAAAAGGAAAAATTAACAATTTTATACAATTATCTATAACTTGACGAAATAAACTTAAGTTTAATATTAAAAAGAAAAATGATTTAAATACAAATTAAGGTTTGAAAATAATTTAATTTAATTTTTAAAATATAATTTTCTAATCTAAAAAAAAAGTGTAAATTTGAAAAAAAAATATGATTCATATTATATAATGTTGATTTCTATTCAAGTTACAACCTTAAAATTTTTTGAAGACCTTAAAAAAAAAAACTGAAAAATTATGTGGATTTGCATCTTCCCAATAAAATATGGATGACAAATGTCGTAGAATCTGAAGGGGAATCATCTTATTTTTACAAGTTGTATGGCAAAAGGTAAATCTGCACTTACTTTAGATGACATCAAATATGAAATGAACACTACACTATTTTTAAGGATAATTTAATCTATAAACACCTCTATCGGTAGTTCATCTTAAGGAACTTTGTTTAAAAGTTCGAAGGAATAACGGGTGTATCTAAAAATTAAAAAAAATAAAGTGTAATTATTGAAAAACCATTGAAAAATGGAAGAAAAATCTAAATAAAATGACAACAACAAAGTAACAGATTTAATGCTTGAGAATAATCAAATTTAGGAAGAAATGCAGCTCTGTTTTTTTAATTAATAAAGAAACTTTAAATAAAATCATCAGAAAATTGCTTTTGACAAAAATTAAGCATCTATTCAAAATGATTGTGATTTTAATTATACAATAATGTTGATATAACCATAAAACTCTATGTTATATAACTAAATTTAACATATAAATTAACTGAAGCAAATTAAAAATCCAAATGTTAAATCATATTAACTTTTATTTTCTTTCTCAGTGAAAATAAAGTTAATTTCTTACCATTCCAAAAGTATTATTTAACAAGTAAAGCCTTTATACAGATCTTCTCCTCTTCACAACATATCATATTAAATGGTACCCTTTTGTGAACGAGAAGAGCTATTTTAAATTTATTTGTTCTTTAATATCTTAAGCAACAAGGAAGTATAATCAATAAAATAAAGGTGTTAACTATCTCAGTAGAGATAGCCTAATAGAGGGGAAAAATGAAAAGGTAATTTTATTTTTTCAATATTTATTTATTTGTTTCAAAATAAAAAAGACGTAATTAATTTAATGATGTAACTGTCAATCCTATTTGTTAAAAATATAGATAAGTAGATTCTAAAATGATATTCAATAAATTTTTTAAGTTGTTTTTCTATTATTACAGAATTTTTTAAATTAGAAGTTTTACCTTTTTCGTTTATTCTATTGACTGAAATAATAATATCTATAAAAATAAAAATTTTGAATTGAATTATATTTTGATTTCGTTTTTTTAATCAATTTAAATAAATCCAGAATGTCATTAAAAAATATTTTATGCTAAAATTTATAAAATAAATTATTTATTTTATTTATTAATTAACATAAATTATAATGTTAATCATACGATAGCTCTTTTACAATTACACCTTTACATTATCAAATAAAAAATATCTTGCTGTTTATTACATAATTGTGTTTCAATAATATAATTAAATGATAATATTGGTTTTTAATATTGAATTCTTAATTTTTAAATAAGGCTTAATCAAACAAATAAATCCTATATCTAATTTCTTATTATAACTTTATTCATCTTTTTATATTAAATTTTATTACATTATATAAACTAACATATAAAACCACATACATTGAATTCTATTGATATTTTGTTATTTTCAAAGAAATATGACAACATATATAATTAGTGGTTAAGAGTGGAATTTTTCCTAAAACAACATTATAGATTGTATTTTAGAATCAAGATAAATATTGGATATAGTAATTTGGGTTATTTATGATCATTAAATTGATTATTTTTACCCATAAGCTGAATATTATATAAATTTCGACCGTAGTTCTATATTAATGAATACACATATTTAAATATAATCCTAATATTAAATTATGTTTAATCTCATAGTATTAATTAATTTATTTTCATAAAATTCAACATCTTAAATTAAAAATGATAATTAAACAATTATATTACTTTTATTTTTATTTAATAGAATTATGTTACCAAAGAAAAAACCCCTCTCAGATACTCTGAAACAGGATTATATACCTCCAGAAAACTGTATTGAAGCAAAATCTTTTCATTCTGTACCAGCAATTAATTAAGTAAATAGTGAAAACCATAAGTTTTTATAACATATAATAAATACATCAAATAATACGCTTGAAGGTGTTTAAGGATAAATGTAGATTTAATTCGAAAATGATCAGAATACATATGTTGGCAGTGGTACATTATGTATTTTTGGACAAGGTTTCAAAAGTAATAAATATTTTCTCCTAACTTGTGCTCACAATTTAGTAGATTTAAGTGAAAATCACCAAACCATTAAATATGCGAATAAAATAACCTATTATTATTCCAGAAGAAACTACAAAACATATTTTTGCAGATTATTGGCTGAAAATTTTGTTTTACATCCTGGATATTTCTTTAACAATAAAATGGATGATGGATTTGATTTATCTTTAGTAAAACTTACTAAATAATAAATAATGAAAGATGCTCCTGTTAGCACTAATTCTTTTTGGGGAATACCTTTAGAGGAAAGTGGAGCAACTTAAGGTTCTGTAATTAAAATTATTGGTTATCCATCCAGTGCTTCAGGTGAATTGTATTCTATTGATGGAATAATAAAGGAAATTAATTTTCATGATGATGGATAGGCTTTAATACTTTACGATATCTTAAGTGCATGTCCTGGATAAGATGGTTCACCAGTATATTTAAAAATGGGAGATAATCACTGGACCATAGTTGGTGTTCATCTCGGTTATAGCTTGACAAAAAATAGTTTCATAGGAACTGGCTTAACAAAAAATATACACAAATGGATTAATAAACAATAATAAATATTATGATATTGAAAAAGGGATAAATTTGATATTGATAATCCATTAGTTAATTTATATATTCATGATAAAATTACAAAAATAATGATATTAATCTTAATTACTTTTATTTCATAGAAATGACCGAAAGTATTTATAATTTTTATAAATACATTTTACTTTTACTTAAAGATATTGTCATTTTTTTTAATGAAATTTTTCTTGATTATCAAGTTAAAATGAATAATTAATTTTGTTATTAATAATTACAAAATTTTTATGATAAGCAAAAATTGTTTGAACGACAAAATAACTACATATACTATTATTTAAAAAAATATTAGAATATATTTGAATTTCAACTAGAATGTAAGTTATTTGTAAATTTATATTAATTGATTTTAGAAATTCAAAAAAATAGATATCGAAAAATAGGATAAAATAAATTCTAGAATAAAATTCGATAAAAATTTAATTTTTAAGACCAATCCTGTAATTGTAAATATCATTCAATTTGATAAATTTATTGGTATGTATTTCTAAAATGTGTGAGTCAACTTAAAAATAATGGATGAAGAATGATTTTATTATAAACTATTTTATATTTTTTGAACTAAAAAAATGATATCACAATTTAAAAACTCTTTTAAAATTAAACGAAATTAAGCATACAACTGTTATAGCCACTGAAAAAAGGATCATTTTAGAATTTTTTAAAATACTCTGGGGTTAAGGATCGTAGAAAATAATTTGAGGTTAAAGATTTTTTGGTAGATATTTAAATTATGTCTCATTTTGAAACATAAAATCATCATTTTCTATGACTTTTATTATTTCTTATATTGTTTTGTTTTCATAAGATAAAAATGAAAGGACTTTATTTATTTTTTTTATAGGCAAACATTGTTAATCAATAGTTTCCGCTTCACAGAAAATCTTATTTAATTGTTCATTTAACATTATTCTCAGCTGAACTAAGATATCTTGAATATTTAAAGTTTTCTCTTTTGCTATTAATATTTATATGTCTTTTAGCATTTCTAAAATTATATCCAAAATTCTAATAAAAATATTTTCTAAGTCACAGCATTCGAATTTGAGTTTGTTTAATTTTGCCTTAAATTGATTAATTATACTTTCATATGTTTAAATTTATTCAATTCTACTTACTTTTGATTAAAATGCTTACAAAAACATTTTTATTTCTTCTTTTTTTCTTATCTCTAATTGCAAGACAGTCATCTAATTTTCATTCAACTTTTTAATGTCTATGCTTCCATTTGCAATACATTCAACAACATTTAAAAGGGGTAAAACTAATTAAACTGCATCTTCATTTTTTTCTTTCTTATTGATTTCTATTTTAGATAGAATAACCTAAATGATGTTATACATATTTAAAAAAACTGTTGTTTAATTAGTATACCATGCTATCAATTTATTTATTTCGTATTATACAGAGTAAATGACCAGAAGTGATATATGTATAGGATTTTAAGTTGGTGTAATTTCATAACCATCCAATTTTAATGATGTTAAAGAACCATCATTAACTTTGATAAATGGTTGATTAGGAGCTACTGTTTCAGTCAATTCTGAACCTATTGTTTACTAAACAGGCTTATTCACTTTAAAACGAGTTGATTAAACCCAAAGAAGTTACTTAACTTTTGTAAATATTTTAAGCAATTCTTCTTTCAAATTTTTTGGAGGTTTGGATCTACTAATTTTAAAACCATTCTCGCAATCAGAATTTTATTTGTGTAAAAGTCTCTTAATTAAGAATTCAGTTAAGCTGGGTAACTTTCCCTAATTGCAATAGAAATAAATTATATCTAGTATTTCCTATTTATTCTATCAATCAAAGCTTCTAATTATTTAAATTCAAAACTTTCTTAGCCATCACTCACAAATAAAAATGTTATATTTTATGGGTAGTTTTCAAATAAGAGTTTTTTGAAAATAGTTTAAAATGTTAGAGTTATATTTCCTCTACCAGCTTCCCTAAACGGAAAAAATGGAAATAATTCTTCTTCCCATTAATATTTCAATTAGTTTGATCCAAGATAATTAAAAATGGTATTGTGTGCTTTCACAATTTAATTATATTCTCCAGCCATTGACCCAGTTCCATCAATAAGAGTTATTAAATATGATTAAGTGGTTGTGCTTTCTTTAGCCATGAATACATCATAATCTTAAGAGTTTTTATACTTATTCATAATTTTTATTAATATTTATCCAAATATTTTTTATTCTTTTGAGATTTTAAAAAGTAAAATCTAAATTTTATTAAATTTCCATCAATTGAAATTTATATATAAAAATCCAAACATATTCGTATTTAGACAATTTTATTAAAATCAATCAATATAACCTACCAGCTGATCTCCTTGAATACCAATCCAGATACTTAGTTTTGTAAATAGGTACTCCCATCTTTCTCAACTCTTCTTCAATTCATCTAGCATATCATTAATTCTTTTCATCTGGTCTCTCTAGATTTTTTCTTCAATGCTTTCAATTTATATTAACTTTATTTCCCTCTGATATTCTCCTTTTTTAATTCTTCAATCTTTTTATTTAGATCTTTTCATATCTTTTAATTGTTCTATTTTTTCTTTCCCATTCTCATTATTCTCATTATTCTTAACTTTCTTTAAATATTCTTAAATTTTTTTAACTACTCACTATTGTTGATTCTTAATCTATTAAAATCTATTTATTTCTCCTTGCTCTTTTTAATTCTTTAAATTATTCTATTTTTTACCTGCTTAGCTATAATTCTTCCAGTTGATTTATTCTCTCCAAAACTATTTAATCTCTCCCTACTTCTTCTTTAATCCTCATATCTCTCTATGCTTCTTTATAAAACAGTAAAATTGAGAGTTATCAAAAAGATGAAACACAAAATAATTTTTTAGATGCTCTTTAGTTACGTTGAGCTTAAAATTAGATTTACCTTTATCATTCATATAAAAGTTAGTAAAATTAAAATAAATTTATTCAAAGAGAATCTAGATACTTTATAATGATATTCATGATTTTGATTTGTATGCATTTAATATTGAAAAACAATAAAAATTTAAATCAGAAAAAGCAAAATCAATATGATTAGTTGAATAATATGAAGGAATATTTTAGTGCACCATAGATAAAGATAAATCAGAATTGAATAGATTTTTTTCTAAATACAAAATGTATGGAGTCATAATTTTTACTTATACTTGCTGCAAAAGAGATTTTAAATAAGAAAAAGTTCAATAACAATAAAAAATCGGACTATTGTTTATTTGATGACAGAGTAAAGAAAATTAAAAAAATTAGAATTTTTTTTTGACAAAATTTATGAAAACTAATTTTCCCCTCCCCCAAGAAAAGTAATTTTACTGAGGAGAAAGAGTGGGAAGGAAACCACCTTAGATGATTATGAATGGAAAAAGTTAATTTTTGAAATTTGTCGAAAACTTTTAAAATCATGATTTTTTGGAAGAGTGAAAATTCCAACAATAATATTTTAATTTGGATTTTATGAGTTCTATACTTCCCCTAATAGCTATTCAGTTGACTTTAAGCAATTTAAATTTGGTTGGGAAAGCATGATTTTATTGAATTTTGGATTTTATATAAATAATTTGTACTTTTAATTATTTTAGTTGATCAATTATTGTTATAATATTTTTTTTAATGATGGCTTAATTCTTTAAACTTCTCTTCTATTTTCCAATTTAAAATGTTAAAATCTTGTTGAAATAGATTTCAAAAAGTTAATGAAATTTTAGATTATTATGTAATTTTTATATTTTTTATAATATCTCACTATAACTACTGTTTTACAAACTTATATTATTGAATTTGATAACAAAAATAAACCAAATCATTAATTATAAAGATAATAAGATAGAATGGATACATAAACAAAAAAAATGATTTTAATTTAATATTAAAGTGTTTATTTCTAAATCAATTATTTATTCATTCAATTTAATAGAATTCATGAAAAAAGTCTTATATTTTATTAATAACAAAAAAATCTAAAAAAAGAATCAGACTTTAAGGCCTTTTGTGTTGGTAACAAATATAAGTATTTTTAAGATATATCTTATGTCACAAAAATTAAAAAGTAAAAACCTTAACAAATTTACATTTTATTTGATTTTTATACTATATTTAATCATATTTTTTTAGATTACAGTTACAAGACTTTAACATAGAAATTCAAACAAAAATAACATTAATCTTGTCTATTCATTAAATAAAATTTTACAAGTTGTTTCTGAAACTTCATAATGTAGTGTGTATATTTTTTCTTTCTTTATTTCATTTAAATATCAAAGAGGATTGAGATCTATACTTGAATAGAGTTTATTTGAAATCATTCACCAATGAATTTTAATATTATCCTTCTTTCTTAAAATTTAGTGATACATTGATCAATTTAAAAAATGTTATGATTTAATGAGATTCTTTTGAATAAATTACACAAATGGATTTTTATTGCTTATACTTTTTTTCATTAAAATACACCATAATTGAAATTTCCATATCTAAATGAGTGTTTTATATTTAATTAATGATTTGTCATTGTTATATAAAATGTTCAATTTTATAGATATATAATTATACTGTTAAGTGATTCTTAGAATTTTTAATTATATGAACAAGGATTACAGAAAAAGCAAAATATATATCAGATTAAAATGTAGTATAAAGGATTGTTGAATGTAATTAACTTGGAAAATTAAAGTATCAAATAAAAGAAAACAGTCCAAAATATATTTTATAAATAAGATTATTTATTAATGCAACAGAACAAGGTTTGGAGAAAGATTGATTATGATATTCGAGAAAAGCCTATTCTTTAGTTCAAATTTCAAAAAGTAGGCAGGAAATCTAATGATCTTTATATTGGATGTTTTAATGAATATCTGATAAAATATAAAGTAAAACATTTAAAAGTATACTAGGATCCCTTCTATACTATCCCTTATAAACTATTTGATTTAGAATTCACCAGCAAATTTGAAGTGATAAGAACTCCTTCAAAATTAAAACAAGAGAAACATCATACTAAAGTTAGAGGTGAAGAGATCTTGGAATTAGGGGAAATTGTGGCTATTCGTTTAATTGTAGAAAATATTGATAAACCCTATGAAATTTAGGGGAAAACTGAATAAATGCATCAATTAAGAAGCTTTTTAGGTAACAAAATCAATTAAATTGGATTTCACAATTTATTTCGTGTTTATAAAAAAATTGGGAGAGGAAATTTTGCATCTGTTTATTTGGCTGAAAGAATTGAAGATAATTTAAGAATGGCAGTGAAGGCATTTTCAAAATAAATTGTTTATAATGAAGAGAAAGGACGAGTAAATTTACTGTTCTTCATTTTAGGAAGGATTAATAAATGAAATATAAATCATGAGAGAATTAGATCATCCTAATTTAATGAGATTGTACGAAGTATATGAAACCAAGAATTCCATCTATATGGGTCTTGAATTATTAGAAGGAGATCAATTATTTGAATATTTAAAGAAAAAAATATAATTTACAGAAAAATAAGTATAAAGTATTATGGTTGGTTTATTAATGGGACTTAAACATATGCATTAAAAAGGAATTATGCATAGAGATTTAAAATTAGAGAATATTCTATTTAAATAATAAGGGTATTTATTATTATGATAGATATAGTAACTTTGATTCTGTTGTTATTGCTGACTTTGGATTAGCAACTCATGTTAATAAGAAACCTTATTTATATTAAAAATGTGGTACTCCTGGATTTGTTGCTCCAGAAATCATCAATTTAAAAAATATGTATTAACCTTATGATTCTGTCTGTGATGTTTATTCAATGGGAGTTGTCTTTTATATTTTGTATTATTATTTTTTCATATTAATAGATTAACTGGAAGACCTGCCTTTACTGGCAAGACTTATAATACTATTGTTAAATAAAATAAAGAGGCAAATGTTAATTTTGATTCTCCTCATTTCCAAAACAGTTCTAAAGAAGTTCAAGGTCTCATTTTTTAAATGCTTTAAAAAGATCCTTTATTAAGAATAAAGAGCAGTGAAGCATTGTAGCATCCCTATTTGTAAAGTGCTTTATTGATTGATGATGATGAAGCACATATTTCTACAGATGATGATCCAAATCTAATGGAGAGAATTAAAATTCTTAATAAATAGTTAATATATCATCTTTATAATGATTTAGAACAGAAAAGGTTGACTTTACTAGAATAAAAAGATAAAATAGTTAGAATATTAAAGAATTAAGACTATAAGCCACTTAAGAATTAAAGTAAAATTAATCGTCGGATGAAGATCTTAAAATAATCATGAGAACACCTGTAATCACTGGTAGAATCAATTCTATTGAAAGTATTTTAATTTTAAATATTTAGATTCGCCTATGCTGAAATGTATTTCACCCTTTTAAAGTACTGGTTATGATGAAATAGCCCATGATTAAATTATTTTGTAAAGATATTCTGGGAAAACACTTAATATATGACTTTATTTTTATATATCTTAACATCATCATAAAATAACTAAAATAAACTTCCTATTATTTATTATTTAATTGTAAATATTTAAAAAATATATTCAATATGGTGATTAAAGTAATAATAACTTGATTATGTATTTTATTCTTTATAATTCAATTTAAAAATGATATATTTTAAATATATACTAAATTATTAAAAAATAAATTGAATACTTATATCATTACTTATTAATCTAAATATTTATTTTAAAATAATCAAAGAAATAAATGTTATTGTGAGTCTACAGATAAATTTATATTTGAAAATTAAAACAAATAAATGATCCTATATGAATAAGGTTAAATTAACTCTTTTATTGAATTAGTTCCTAAGTATGGATTGAGTTATTGAGATATAAATGTGAAATTAATAAAAGTTAAGATATAATATTTATAATAATAATTTATAAGAAGTATTTATTTTTTAATATTATTTCACATGATATTAATATTATAAAGTAAATTAAATGAGTTTAAATTTCAGTAATCAAAAGAAAAAGAGTCTAAATTTCAAAGGATTATTGCTTTAAGATAAGGAGGCTATTTTCTTTATAAATATAATTAATAATATTTAATTATTACAATTATTATTTTAGATCTCATTATTATATTAATAATAATGAGATCAAATATAGCTTTGAGATTGAGAAAATCAATAGAACGAGAAAAGTATGATTCCACATAGAAGTTTTCATTGCATGCATTTAGTATACATTAAGCACCTAGCCCGAAGAGAACAGCTCATTAAACTCCAATAAGAGGGAAATATTAAATACTATAAAAAAGAAAATCCTTCAATGAGTAAAAAGTAAATGAGAAAACACAGCTACTAAAGAAAATAGAATACTTTAACTCAGTGAATATAACATTAGAAAACTAATAAATAAAAGACTAAGATAAAAGTATGCAATATAGAAAAGATAACCGTTAAAAATCAGAGGACAAGATACTTGTATATGATATTTTTCGAGAGGTTGGGTACTCTTACAAATTATATGTCTGAGGAATAATCAAAGCCTGGAGATTAATAAGAAAGACAGCGCAAAAAATATTCACTTCCAATTTTGAAAAAAAGATCTTCTCCATCTCCTTAACTTTAGGATTCTTAAACTATACCACCAATGCCAATAATTACAGAATTAACTTATACAAAATTAGCACCAAGTAACTATTGTATTGTAATAATAATTAGATGAAATTAATAAAGTTTAAACTAAAGAAATAAAAGAACTTCCAGAATCAACAGAAAGAATACTTGATTTATTATTGCTTAATACTTGTGATCTAAAAAAAGTATTCCAATAATAAAAATAGAAAAATAAAAGAAAAATAATAGTATAAGGAAGAATCCCTCAAGATTTTTTCAACATATTGAAATAATTTTGATCATATATAAAATATATTTAAGTGTTTTCATTATTCAACCTTAAATTATTCCCCATATTTCCATTCTATTGATTACAAAATTCTCTTTACTAGATAATACTTCATTTCCAAAAGTTTCACAATAATGAGAATACCCATGATAAATTTCAGAATCAACATATAATCCATATTTATCACCACATCCTATTGCTAATCCATTTTCATCACATAAAGTTATAAAATTATTCTAATTTATCCAATTATAAACAGTTAAAGATTAAGTATTCTTAAATGTAAATAAAAATGATTCACCAGTTCCATAAAAATGATCTTGACTTTTTTGAATACCATCAGACAAATAAGCTCCAAATAAATATTTATCTAAATCTCTAATAAATAAAACAACAGGTTAACTATATTAAGTATTTCTCATCAAAGTTTTAATTGATGATCCATTTAATGTTGATGAATATAATAATGTCCATCTTTATGATTTAAAAATAGTTGGAATATAACAGGCTACCATCATAAAAATAGTCTAATCAATAATTTCAGATTCTGAATTTAAATAAGAAATGAATGAATTCGAACCCATCAGCTCTTATCATTTATATTTATAATAATACTTTCAAATGCTAATTGAATATTTTATTCTAATTTTTGATCATTATTATAGTAAAAAGGAAGTAAAGTTTTCAATTAAGGTTTTGTTGGAGTCTCTATTATTTTATTTGGAGTAGGAGGAAAATATGACACCAAAACAGAATTAATTGAATCCATCAATTCACTTAATTATTCAACATCAATTAATTATATTAAGGCAACTTTGGACCGTTTAGTTTATAGATGGATTTCTATAAAATGCATCTTAAAGATTTCTTTACTGCCTAATTAAATACATGCTGGAAATTCTCTTTTTGTTACCTTTATGACATTTTTTAATAGGATTTAAAATTGTAATTATTATACATTTTTTAATTTTGCTTCCTACATTATTTTTTCATTCCCTAGATTATTATAATCAGGATCAAAAAACAATACATCTTCATGGACTGTTAATTTTCCTTTTATGTAACCTAAAGTTGTAACATAATTAATATCAAAAAATTTATTATAGGTATATTAAAACGAATCTAACAAGTTTTCTTGTTTCTATTCCTAGTTTTTAATTTATTCATAACTTGGCACGGATTGTTTTCTTGGTATTTTTATAGTTATTCCTTCATATAAGGAATTTTCTGAAATTTGATTAATTTACATCAATTAATCTGCACTTCTATTACAAACTTAAATACCTAACATTAAATTTAAGTTCAAGTCCAAAATATGAATCATCTGATTCTACTTTATATAAAAAATATTTAGAGTCATCTTCAATCTTGAAATTATCTAAAAATTAGGAATCCAAATCACTTAATTTCACTTCTTCTTCTTATGTAGGAGTGTAATTTTCATAAGTAATTCTACAATTTCCCAAATATTCAAAGTTAAGTTCATAGTCATACTATTATTCACATTATTCCTAATTCATGTTTGATATTATAATTTATAAAATAATATAATTATATCATTATTTTATTCATACAATATATTTAATAAAAATTATATTGATCATTTCATTATATATACCTTATTTAGCTTTATAATAAATTTATTTTTTAAATCATTTATATAGAAATATAAAATAGAGTATAATTTTCATTAATTTAAAAAACATATATGTTGCAAGACTAATAAACAATATTAAACGAATCATTCCATTTTACCAACCTACAATAGTTTTCTCCTATTTATTAAGAATTTCTTAAGATCTTTAATTCTAATTCTTTAGAAAAGCTCTAAAATTCAAATTCTCTTGGTTAACATATAAAAACAGAAGCAAGTCTCAAAAATTAGGATTCTCAATCCAGTAGTCCTACTTAGATTCATTAAACTAAAAAAAAATGTCTTAATAGAAATCCTCTCTACCCTAAATAATTGTAACAAAAGATAAGTTGTTAAAATAATAATTGTTAGAATAAAAGAAAAAAATTAAATGAAACTTAGATTAATGGTCAAACTATCCTATTATGTAATAGATGTATAAACAATTTTAACTCAAATAACTATTGTGAATATTGTATTCAAGTAATATAATTATCAATTATTTAAGATATATGATCCCACTCTTGGATATGAAATGGACGATAAACAATGGATTATGTGTGAAAAATGCAATAGATGGGTAAATTTTAGTATTTATACTTATAGAATCATGTTGAATGTGAATAGTCTTAAGGAAAGTAGAATTTGATCAAAATTACATATTAAACATAATATCTATGTTCCTAATGTCATAAAAAGATAAAATAAAAACCAAAGTCAAATTTAAACAAAGATACTTTTTAAGATCAAGAACTTTTCAATACTAAAACTAGATAACCCTTTACAATAATTAAATTAACTAATAAAGAAATTTTGGAAGATATTTCTCATTTGAGAACTCTAATATTTGATGAGAAATTAAAAAAAGTGAAAATAGAATTGAATTAATGATTTTTTGTAAGATGTACTCCTTTATCTTAATGATAATTATTTTAACAGATGATTTAAAATGTATAATAAACAAGATTTTCTTAATTGTCTTTTTTTATAGATGATTCATTTCCTTTTTATAACTAAATAAAATAGAAATCTATTTCTATTAAATAATATCATAAATTTTCATTAAATACTTTACTCTAATTTTATATTGTTTTTCATTATGTAATAAATTTTTAATTAAACCATTATAATATTTATTATAAAATATAATAAAAATATGATTAAGAATTAGTTATTACTTATGATTCTTTAATTGATTTTGGATTAACATATTGTTATAATTTAAAATATTCATATTCTTTTAAGTATTAATAATATGATAAATCTTAGGAAACTGACATATTTTAAACACTTTGATCTCCAAAGTTGATTCTATTCATAATTAAATTTCCTCATTTTATTTTTATTATTCTATGATTACCCTAAATTATAGCTTTAGTTTTTTTTGGAGGAATATTTTAATATTAATATTATTAATGATAAGATATTATTTATTTTATATTATTACAGATAAATAAATTAGTTTAAAAATTAAGTCAAAATATTCTTTAAATGGATGGATTATTAACAAATTTGATAAAATAAGATGAATAGTAAAATAAATTATTAAAAAAATTATAAACTTATTATTCTAATATAATGATGTATCAAAAATGATAGATTAATTTAGTCAAATGCCAGAATCATAAATGGGTTCATTAAGAATGTAACCCTCCCAATTAAGAATAGAAATGACAGATGATCAATAACTTTCCACAAGAAGGAGGAATTTCATGTCTCCTACTGCTTTGCCATTATTTCGAGAATTGTAAATAAATAAGTTTCTTATATCAGATAATAATAAACAACTAGACAACATCTCTAATAACCTATTGCTCCTTTAACTATGAAAGTAATAATGTAAATCTAATAAATTAGTCAATGTCTAGCCAATCTTAAATTACTAAATCCTTGTTATTTAATTTATTTTTGTAAGGTTTCTTTATCAATTATTATGGATATATCTTTTGGTAATATAGTTTTCGATATGTTTTACTTTAATTATGGATCTAAGATTTATTAACTATGTTCATATTGATATATTTTAATTATCGAAAAGGAGAAGAATGTATTTGGTAACTCATTGAAACCATGTTTCTATTTTTCTTAAAAGTAATTTATTATTATTAATATAGGTTTTTGTAGTATTTTATTATGAAATACAAAAATTCAAAATTTACTTTATTACAATAATGATGATTTCACTTTCAATTCTAGTTTTGTTTATGAGAGTTGTACAAAAATTGAAATTTTAATTATAGAACAATCAATAAATTGTAAATAATAGATTAATAAAAAGATTTTTTAATTCATAAAAACTTTATTATGCGTTTAAATAACACTTATTGCTTTGAAATGGGAGGAGAGAATCGAGTGGGTTTGGTCCTAAATCTTTATAATATTGTGGGTGTTTTTGGTGGTCTTTGCATTATTATTATTTATATCTTTTATAGGATGTATTGAGACTATTATAAATCTTCTAAAAAAGCAAACTAATCAAAATTATTGTATTTCTAATATCTATTATAGTAATAGGAAACATATGGATTTTTATCAATATCATAGGTTACACTTTGTTACCATTCACATTTTTGTATAAATTGACTCAATTGTATGATAATTAGGAAACCTTTGGAGAAGATGAAACTATTTAATTAATTGTATTAAATGGAATTTACATGTTGTTATTAACTATTTATACTACTTTTTTTGTAAACAATATAAGGTAACTAATTATGACATTCAACTTAATAGAACATTTTTGAAAGAGCTTTAAGGATTTGAATAATATTCTATAGGAATTCCTCAACAACCAATTTAAATTTAATAAGAATTAGAATAAAGAATTGATAATATACCTGATTCTACTGAGACTTTATCCAAAAAAAAAAGAAAATAACCTTTTAGATTTGTCAAATTAAATGCCCCATTATATTTAATTAAAATGTCTTGCACATTTTTTGCTATTTTTGATAAAATAAATTTTGATTAGAATAATGTTAAGTAAACTGAATAATTTTCTTAAAGAGCATTAGGATAGGAATCATAAAATAGAATGGAATTTTAAAAAGAAATTAAAGCAAATAGCAATTCAATAGATTATAAGATTAATAATTTAGAAATAAAAGAATAATAAATAGAAAATATTGATGAATTAGTTAAGGAAAATGTAAAATCTAAAAAAATTTTATAAGAATAAGAAAAATCAAATAAATCTTAAAACTCTATTAATGGAGATTAGTAATCAATTTAGGATAAATGCTTGATTTGTTATGAAAATTAACCCAATATATTATTTATTCAATGTAGACATGGTGGAATATGTGAAAAATGTGCTGAAAATATTGTACTTAAATCAAATTAATGTTATTTGTGTAGAAATGTATTTATTCCTTTTCATTTAGAATATAAAACAAATTTTAAGAATAAATACAGAGGCGGGTTAATTAGTTGTTAATGAGATTAGTAACATAAAGTAAAATAGACAAATATAAGAATGAAATTGTGAATAAAATTACACTAAACTAATCTCGTTTTATTTATTTATTATATTTTTAATTCCATTTTTTTAAATCATCTCTAAGTTAAACAGAATCAAGTAAACAGTTACAATAGTTATAATATTGTATTAAATAGGATAGTTTTTGAGTGAAATCATAATCATTATATTTTTTAAATTATGACAACTAAAGCATTAATAAATGAGGTGCAATTTTTATGTTGATTAATAAATGATGCATTTTTATTATAAATGAAGAAATTTTTAATCTTATCAATATTTGTGAAAGTAATTTTCTCTTACATTTATTATGACACTGGATATTTTCAAAACTTTGATTATACTATAGATTCAAGTTTTAATTGCAAAACTGGCTATTCAAAAACAGATACCATTACATTTTCTAACACTTTTGAAAATGTACCCTAAGTATTTTTTACATTGGAATACATGGAATAAGAAATGGCAATTTTAGGGTTTAAACTATCAATTACAACAATAACTAAAACTTGTAATTAATGAATATATATATAAATAGCATTTACAGTCCAAATAACCTGTATTTAATAAAGAGTATATGTAGCCAGATTCAGATGGTTTGCAATTGATGATTAACGTATTGAAGTTATAAGTAACTTCAATATGGATAATCCAGATGATAAGACATTTTCAATAAAAAATCCTAATGCTTAATTTGGGTTTATAATTATGACTAGTGTTTAGTATGCAGGACCAATAGATTTTCTATTATAAGTAATAATTGATTATAAATAAATAGATAAGTTCAATAACAACTAATTCAGTTACAGTCAGTATCACCAAAGTAGCAGGAAAATTTACTAATCTTAAGCAAATTGGTTATTTTGTTGTTGTTGGAATTGAAGAAGCATTTATTAATTTAGGATTAAAGTCAGTAACAGGAGCCTTTAGTAGTGGATTAATCACAATATAACCAAATAGATGGTTTGCAATAGCATTGCAAGGTCTAAATTATCCTAATAGTAAAAATTTGAGGATAAGAGCAACTTATACAAATACAGCAACAACAACGTCATATACTTGGGGCACTTGTAATTATATATAAGATTTCATTTATTCTAGGGTTTGAAGTTGAAACTCCAAATAGCCATTCTTAAATTTGGATTTTATACTAATTTACAACTACATACAACCCATTAGAATGTTTTAGTATAAGAACAAGTAGAAAATAAGCATTTGATTTAAGCATTTTACCAACTTTCTTTTTATAATTAGTTTAAACTAATTAAATTTATATTACAAATGGTAACTATGAATATGTAGTTGATAAATCAATTAGACCACTTAAAATGAATATCTAAATTAAATGTGAAAATGGAAAGAAAGTTTAAGCAGAATTTAATAAATGTAATTCTTGTAGTATTTAAAAGACTTATTCTTTTACTTATAATTGCTTTAATTAGATGAATTACATTGGTTTCTTCCCTTTATTTTAATAAGCATTCCAACAATATAATCATTTAAAAATCAATATTCAATCATCATCACTTGAAATCATAAATGTTGTTTATGATTAAGCCATTACAGAAAAGACTATAGTCAAAATTTAAATATTAAATTAATGAATATATATAAAATTTAAATTAAATGAATTTTAAGTGACGCTCCGAATGATTAAAAAGCGAACAATAAAAAACGCCAAATTAATCATTAATCTCATAACCTTATTGAAATATTGTGGTTTTTATTAATTACAAATCAGTTAAGAAAAAGGTTATAAAATAATAAATACTTGTAAATATATACATTATACTTTTATTGTATTCATTTAAAAAAAAAAAATATTTAAACTTACAAAAAAAGAGGTCGATCCAAAGTACATTTATTTATTTATTTTTTAAGTAGATTTTGAATACAAATTCTTATAAGCTTGTTTTATAATTTAAATGTCTCTCTATTTTATAATCAAAACATTATTTATAATAAGGTGTGTATATCTTTATTAACAATTTGAATAGTCCATACTTGAGAAACAAATTTACTATGTAAATATATGTAAATGGGGTTGTGTTTGACTTAGATTGCCTTTAGTATAGGTTGGATTCTATTTATAATTAATAGAATTTCTGGGAAGAAAATAAATAATAAGCCCTCAATTTTATTATTATTGCTATTTAACATAAAAATAAACTCAATCAACAAGTCGATGACAATCTAATAATGTTTTCAAGTCTTCTACAATATTTTCTTTAAAACTAAGAGTGATTTTAATGTTGAAGATTCATCAAAAACTTGGAAGTAAGGAAATTAAAATGATAATTAAGAATATGCAGATATAAAAGATTACAGTGATAGATCTCACATTTCTATTGATAAAATTTGAATAAAGAGTTAAATTTATTAAGTAGTGCTTTATAAATTGGAATAAAGTTGTTCAGTGCAAGTTCCATAAAATAATTATCTATAATGGAAGGTTTATCAAAATTTTCCATTAGTTAATTTACAATAAGTTATTTTAGTATGCTTAGTTATAAATTATTTTGAGGGAGGTAATAATAAGTCTAGGATTTTATTTGCCATGCTTTAAAGAAAATTACAAACTTTTTTAAAGCTAGACTTTTATAATTAAGCCAAGTGTTAGGCCGCATTTTTATATTTTTAGGATGGAATCGAGAAATCAATATAGATAAAATGATGGAGCGAAAAATTTTGAAATAAATAATTTTTAATTTCCAGCTTATATTTAGACTTCCAAAAAAGTCTTCTGATTAAAAAAATTATATCAATTAAATTTTTTGAAGACTGCAAGTTGATTTTTTCTTATTTAATTATATTTAATTCAAGATATTTCATAGTTTTAACACATGGGAATCCATTTAGGTTATTTTATTTGGAATATTTATGGTTTTGAATGAAGAAAACACAGCATTCATTATTATTTATTCTTAGCTCATATTTTACAGATATTTAAGCAAATAATTAAAGAAAGGAAAGTGTATTTTTGTGATCCTTGACTATCACAATATCATCTGTGAACTCAAAGTAAGGGTATTTAAATGGGCAATTTTAATTTAGGGTATCTAAGAAATCTTCTATTTATATTAAAAAGTTTTGGTGATAAAGGAGAACCTTGTGGTACGACATTTCCAATATAATATTTGGTATTAGTTTGAGGATTAATATAATGGAGGTTCGTATATAGGTTAGTAATAAATTATTCAATATTACTTTTGATTAAAGTAGCATTGTTAATATCAATAAATATAGTCGAGTTATATTAATTTAAGTAGATGAACTAGGAATGAAGCCTGCTTTCTTTGGATAGGTGAAAGTATTAATAATGTTACAATCAGGTAGAAATCTTTATTTCTAAAAGTTTAAATAGTAGACTAAGAATTTGTATTGGTCTAAAATAGTATTTATTGGGTATATTAGGAAAAGCTTTATTTAATAGAACTAATCTAGTTCTGCAACAAATTATTTCCATATTTTATAAATATTTTTGTAGCTTATGATAAAATTGTCAGAAATGCCATCATAGCAAATAGCCTTATTAGGTGACATACGATTTTAAAGTTCAAGTAATTCTAAAGCACTTAATGAAAGAAGTGTAGGAAGTGGCTAAATTTTTGACCAATTGAAATAATACTCAGTTAATCAAGACAATTTTTAGTTGATTATTATATGTTCCTGAATTATGTCTTATAAATGTTTTAGTCCATTTTTTTTCTTCCTTTTGAGATTGCATGAATCTTGACCAAGTCAAGAAAATAGTTGGTGCAATTGAATTTGTCATTTCTATGACTACTATATTGTAATTCCTTTGAATAGAATAGTCCTGGATAAGATGAAAAACTAACTCTATATAGATTTGGACAAAAAAACTTTTAGCCTTTATTAATCAAAGCTTATTCTCATAACTTGTCCATGCAATTATGAATCCAAACATCTCAAGCCTTAGTTAAAGCAGAAAAAGAAATTCTCTTTCTCTTTCCCATTAAAATTACTTTAGACTCAATAAATGTCATTGAATACTTTCAGCCTTAGGTTTTTAAGTTTAATTGCTCTCTTCCAATTCATAAATATCCCCACGTGCTTGTAAGTATAGTAATTGCATTCATGTGAATGATTGGAACTTTATCTTAGATTAAGATTATCTATCATTATATGCTAAGATTATGCCAATGCCTCATAAAATTCCTCACTCCTATTGTCTTTGATTAGTTACTTTGTATATTCATTTTATTTTTATAAATATTTTGATAATTCTTTTGTCACTTATTCATTTCCAAAAGTCAAGACCAGACATGATTATATATAAGTTCATATGTCAATGCTCCTTCCTAATAGGTTAAATGATATTTATCATTAAATATCAGCTGCACAAGAGGTCTTCAACTAAATTAATGAGATTTTAAAGTATCACTTGTCCGAATGTACAATTTACCCCATCTATCCTAAATTGCATTATTTTTGTAGAAACTCAACCAAAAGCAAAAAGAGATTTACATTTACTTATGATTTATTTTACAAATCTCTAATCCATGAAAAATCAGTGTCATTATCACTTTACCATAAATAAATTAAGACCAATAAATAAATAGCTCTCAATTATAATTATCTACTTTTTTTTTTCAATGCGATGCAATATTTTCCATCATCCACTATAATATTAAATTTATTTTTTGATTTTTGTGGGAAAAATCAGAAATAATAAATGTTAGACAGGGATACCAAATAATATTTTAGTAAATATTTTAACCAAATTTTCAATTCTGAAAAACAAGAATAGGAAAAAGTCAATTAATTGAGTTTATAATATGTTAAATGTAGTGATATGATTTAGTCTATGAATATATGTATTGAATATATGTGATAATATAAAAATAATAAATTAGCAACTACCAAATATTATTGTTTAATATATAATCTATACAATTAAATTTCTTTTCTAAATATTCAAATCAAAGAATTATATAAAATATTCTATAATTAATATCCTTAAAATGATTAAATTAACAGTGTAATTTAACTATTCAAAATTCTATTAATGAAGGACATTTTCAGTTATGGATAAAATAAAAAAAATATTTCTTCATATTTCAGTATGATATACAAATATAAAGCTTTTTTATCATATTTATTTAATTTATTTGTTAGTCAGACTTAAACTTTGACAAATATATATAATTTTATTTCAGATAAATGGATTATAAATACAATGGATATGAAATATGATGATTACGACATAAAAAAACATTAATACAATAATCATAAAGGTATATAACAAAAAATCAAGAAAAATAATAAATGTATATATTTAAAAAAATTTTTATAAAATATCTAAATTAAATATTTCATCATTATTATGACATTAAAAAAATTTACTATTTCCATAATCTAAGCATATTTTCTAACTATCTGTCAAGCGTATAATTTTTATCTAAATTCAAAATGGGTGATTCATTATAATTCTTCATTTAATCAGACTGCTCTTAAATCATGTGTTCTTCTTCTTATATATTCTTCCCATAATTTATTTAGCCAGATGTGCATTTGCTCTAAAATCCTTCTTTCTTTAATACTTTGTTTAATTAAAAGGTAGGCTTAATTTCTTATTATGATAATACACTATTGCTTTTTGTCATCCTTTTTTGAGTTTTGAAATTATTAAATGAAACATCATATTTGCTATTTGCAAATTTCATGTTCTGTTTCATCCAAAAAATTAAATAGTTCGAGATCTATTCTATGTCTTGAAGGATGAATTATTCAGTACACTCTTTTGAATGACGAAATTAATCTTGCTATTTGAAGTTACCTACATTGTGAGAATTAATTGAGGATTCTATAATTAATACATTAGATGTTGTTTGTTATTGATAGAGATTCAAATCACCCGTTTTTATATCGATGATGACAAGAATTTTGTTTCTCTTAAAATATTGTTTCTTGTTTCTCTTATCTTTTTTCATTGATCTTCCTTGTTATTAATACGTCTAAACTATACCATTTGCTGTAGAATACTTCAAACCATATTTTAAAGCTGTCTATATGATCAAATTCAAGGATTACTTGTTTTATCGAATTTTCTTAGAAAACTATGTCGTAAATCACTTTTTCTCTGATTTCATTTCCTATTTTTTGATAAGGCTGTCTCATTGAATTATGTATAAGTTATTTCTACTCCATTTGAATCTAGGTTTAAGCCATATAATTAATAAAAAATTAACAGAATACATAAACCTTTTATTCTTATTTATATTCCAAATCTTATAATTTTAAATACTTAATTAGATTATGAGTGTTAATAGCAATAAATTTAAATAAATTATTTAATTTGAATTTAATATATATATAATATATTGTACATAGCTAAAAAACTAATATTTAATTTAATTACATAATTCAAGGTAGGTATAAGATTCCACTCTCTAAATTATCATCTTAGATTAATTTCAATTACTATTAAATATTTTATCCTTTATATTTTATGTATTTCTCAATTAAATAACTTAAAAACCAAAAAATTTATCAAATTTTCTCATTTAATTTATATTATTCTTACAATTATATTAAAATATTTTATCCATAATAATAAATAGTATTCTTATTATTCTATCTTTTTCTAAAAACACTTTACAAAAATTAAAAAAAAATCTAATTCTAATACAATTTAATAATCCTTTCATATTAGGATATAAATTTTCAAAATAATTTTTATAATCTAATCGAATAAATAATCAAATAATTTCTATATGATTTATTGTATGATGATTTTTGTATTTAGACATATCATAAAATGTAATGGTTGATTCTCATCGTTTTGAATTATACAGACTAAAAATAAATTAATATTGAATTAACCTTAATTTTATTATCAGTAACAAAAATACATTTAGGCTCAGAACATATTAAAAATTGTGAACACAGCAGAACTCGAGAATACTTAAATTAAAAATTAGAAGTTTGTTGAATTTATGATACTGATCAAGAAGTATCATAAAATTCAAATCAGAAATAAATATAACGAATTATCCTTTAAATTAGATTGATTAAGATTTTGTTAATTAACTATAAATATATATTTTTCATGATTTTTTCATAAGATAATGCTATTTTAGTATATAGGCCTTTAAAAATTCAGTGTCATTGCTGTCTTTGTAATATATTTTATTCCAAGGAATTTTCCCTAACTTCTAAAAAATTAATTCTGAAGTTTAGAGTAAATTGCTATTTTTGAGTTCCTCCTACAGAGAATGCTAATTAGAATAGCATAATTTTTAGCTATTTTTTATTAGAGAAATATTTCCATCAGAGACATCTATGATAATACTTACATTTGAGACCATTGATTTTTATTTACTTTGAGGTTGTTGGTGTTCATCTAAATGGTTTCCTTTATTTTTAAAATTCTTCACAATATACTTAGCTGTGGAATATTTAATTTATAGCTTCTGTGCTGCCTTAAATCATATATTTAATTACTTATCTAGTTGATAAACTCTCTTAGAGTACCAAGTTGATTAAAGAATGTTTTTTTTGGTTGTCTATCCTCTAATGATTTCTAAATTTTTAAATTGATTTGTTCATCATGATATTTATGTTAGACATATTAAAAATAAATTAAAATGAATTTTGAGGAATCAAACATTGAAATTTACATATGAAAGAAATATTCCTTTTCATACTATTTTTACAAAAATTCCAAAATCTGTAATTTCTTTCCTGATAATAAATAAATTAAAAGGAATGTACAAATTAGTATAAAGTAGATTTCCTTAAAAATGTTTAAATAGCTAATAAGGGAAATTTATAGCTAATTTATTTTCAGCCATTTTTTATGTTTGTTATCGATTTTTTAAAAATTTCTCTATTCGATTAAATTAATTCTAATGTAAGAAATATAGTCACTCAAGAGTTCCTAACATATAATTAAGTTGTTATAAGAATTCTTTTGAATTATTTTTTCTAATCAGTATATTTTTTTAAAATACAAGAAATAACAAATTATGCTATAATTCAAAGTAATTTATTCATAAATGACTTAAAAATAAATATTGCAACTAATTTCCAATTGATTATTTTAGGTTTCTTAATTCAATTATTCTGATTTTATTGTATAATTACAAATTGATTGATTTCATGATAAAAATTATTGTAAAAATTCTCTAACATCCCATTTAATATTAAAAATTATCTTTACTAGTTGTCTTATATAAGTAAATCAACTTTTTAGTGATTTTCAAATGTTCAAAATTTGGGATATCAATTATTATATGAACAGCAACATCTTAAATTATATTAAAGATTTCTTAGTTTCATGTAATATTGTTTGAATTTCATTAAGACTTCTTCTTTGGGACAAGTACTAATTAATTACTCTAAATAATTTGTAAATGGCTATAATAATTAAGCCTTATTGAATATTAATTTAATGCACCATTTAAATAAATGATTTTTGTAAACCTTGAATAGAAATTGAAGATCTTTTATATAGAAACTAGCAGAATCTATAATGTTCTAAATATCTTAGAAATATACTATACATTATATTAAAAATGAATAACTAATAGATAGTGTATTAATTAAAAAATAGTATATCTTTAATATTTTCATATCAATAGTGACATTTATGAATTTTCAATATCGATTATGAAATAAATTCATCGTTATTATAAAATTTAAAATTAATATGTTCAAACATAAATCAGCTTCATTTCATGATGCAAGTATTGATACTCAATTAAAGTTTAAACCTCCAAAACCAGAATTAATCTCTAATTCAACTAAAAGAAATTCTGAAGTATTGTCTCATGTAATTAATTTAATTTCTAAATTAGCCTCCAGAATTATTAGCTAAATTGTATTAAACTAATAGACTCTTAGAATAAAATATAATAAAGTTAAATGATACTTAGTAAATATTGTCTTAAAAAGAAGAAGAAATATTAAATTTGAAATAAAAACTAAAATGCTCAACAAAGGATTTAAATGAAAGAAATGAAAAAATTGCATAATTAACAGAATAATTAAAAGGATTAAAAGCAGATTCAAGAAAACATAGTTCTGATAGAAGCAATCAAGAACTATAATAAAAACTGCATCATGTTTCTTAACATAATGACGCATTGTTTTAAGATTATTAATCAGTGCTCTTACAAAATTAAAATTATTAATAGCAAATCATTGAACTTCAAGATCAGTTAAATTCAATATCATACAGATTAAGAGAATCAGAATAAGCAATATAGTTGATTAAAGAAACAGAAACAAAAGTTAATTATCTTGAATTAGATGTTGATAGATTAGAAGAAAAACAAAAAAAGTCTTTTCCTGAAATAAATAAATAAACATAATAACTTAAAATTCAATATGAAACAAATATACAATTACTTAATTGCGGAGTAGATTATATAGCCTCTTAATTTTAAAAGTCTATAACAATTTTAACAAAGTAACTTTAAATGGTTTAGAAATTTTCAAAAAGAAATGTTGTGTTATCAGAAACACAATTAACTTTTTATGGATTAAATACATTGGCATAATAAACAAATTCAAAAAGAGTTTAATCTATACTATAAAAAATGAATATTAGTGAGACTCTTTAAAGTTGGTTAGAAGGGATTATAACTTTTCTAATGATTAATTGTCAGGAAATATTCTAAAAAGAAGTTGATAAGAAATTAGATAAATTGTCAAGACAAATAACATAAGTTCATGATATAGTTATATAATTAGCTACGTCCTATGATTTTATGAAATTTGGAAAAAATGTACTTAATTCTTTTATTAGTATAGAAATGCAATAATATGAGTGCATATAGTTAAAAGTCAAATAGTTATTGCTCAAGATTTCAAGATAAAGAAAATGAAGAATATAGTTAAAATATCAAACTAAAAGATTTCTTAGATTTAGCATTAATGTATTATAATTTTTTTAATTATATTAGTAAATTGGGTGAGCATTTAGCATAAATCTAATAATTAAATATAGAATTATAAGTTTCGAATTTTTAGAATAAATCTTCGAGAGAATTGCAAATGGGCCTTAAAGAATAATTGCATTTGCATGAAAATTTAGCAAATTATCTAAAAAAAGAGTTAATTTCAATAAAAAAAGAAATTACTAGTCATTCATAGAGAGGATAAGTAAAGAAGTACAGTTACATGCCAAAAATGATATGAAAAGCATTTTTCTTTAATTAATTATTTATGATAATATAACATTCTTCACGATTGGAAGGAAAACACACAAAGAATAGTAGAAGTGCATAAAGAGTCACTCCTTCCCATAATTTATATACAGAATCTTCTTATATATCCTAAATCTTAGCTCATTAGTAAAAAATTAATGATATTCCAAACTCTAATAAGAGATTATTGAATAATATTAGTCCATTAAGTCTTAATTATAAGGAGGGAAAAATACTTTAAAAAAACTATTTGCAAAATAAATACTCATAATTATTAGAGGGGAGTCATGTTTAAAGAGCTGGTTGGAAAAAGTATTTATTAGATGGATTTAAAGAGAAGATCGAGAACATCTTAAATTAAAACAAGAAAAGCTTAAAGTTATTTAAAATCAAAAGATAATATTTTACTAGAAGTGTTGCTTTGTAACCAACAGTTATTTAAGATGATTATTTAACAGTGGATGCATTGATTAAAAAATAAGATCCTACTTATGATATTGAATAAGTTTAGGATAGTTTAATATAATAACATAAGCAATACTTAACAAATTAGAAAAACACTGATTATGATGAGAAGTATGAAAAATAATAATATTGAGATTATAAAACTTAGTAAAGTAATTTGAAATAATAGTAGATAGGATAGAGAAGGAAGCATTTAAAGTTAAAATACCCACTAACTTTTAAACAGCTATGCAAAATTACAATGACTATTATAATGTTTAATTAGACTTAAAAAAAAAATACAAAAGTTTAAAAGTTATTGATTTTAGTAAATTTGAAATAAAATAAAGAATAAAACAATCATATGCTTTAAACTTTTGGGAAAAAGAAGAAATTGAAGAAGAATTTGAATAATAAGTACAAACCTGTAGAGTATCTACACAAAATTAATGTAAAGATGAGTTACTGGAAGAGATTAGATAATATTAAGCGATTTAAATTATTTAATAAATTGTAGATTTACCATAAGAAACAGAGGAACCTGAAAATAAAGAGGAAGAATAAGTTTAAACAGAATAAATTGATGAACCAATATAACCAGTAATTGAAAAACCTAAGGAAAAAAAAGTTAAGAAAAAGAATGTTAGATATAAATAAAAAAAGAGAGATAGTATTGAGGCAGTCAATGTTAATAAAACTCTTAGAGGTAATAAAATATAAAGCACTCAGAAGGATGAAGAATCTGAAATATTTCAAACTGAACAATTAAATAGTTAGAAGATATTTGATCATAAATTTGTTGATTACATGTTATCATTAGATGATGTTCACGAAGCTAACCTTTCTTAATTCATGGAAAAATAAGTTGCAGAATATGATTCCTATATATTTTGCGACCCTGATGAAGAAATTGTTTACAAGCATCAAGTTGATTGGAATTGTTAATTAGACTTTTTATTAAGAAATATTAGCTGAATTGAATATTGTCTGCTTTAATTTTCAATATATTTTTTGCATTAAAATATCAATTATTTTATTCAAGAATCTTCTATTAATAATTTAAATCATTTGATGTAATTTTTTAAACGTGGTTCAGTTTATTCGGAACCATAATTTTATTCTAAACAAATAAATTTATACAAAAAAAAGAAAAGATATACAAGAGTATACATTTGTATTAAATCATTTATAACATTTATAATAATTAGCTACAATCACTTTCATTATTAACATTTTGGACAAATAAATTTTAGTATTTTTTTTGCTTTTTCTTTAGTCAATTTTAAACAATTCAAATGGCACCATCCTTGACATGCCTCACATTATATATACCTTAAAATCTTTAATTATTTAAATTACTTCAAATCTGGATTTGGAGGTTTTTAACATATGCATGTTGTTGTCCATTCTTCTATTGGAGGTTAAAATGTTCCATTTATATATGCAGCTCTCATAAAATAAGTAGTATCATTCATTGTTTCTAATTAATCAAATTCCTCATAAGTTAGTATAGAAGCTAAACTCACTATACTTTCAATCTCAATATAATCATATTCATTAGTTTTGAATACTTCATTCTCTGAAATATAATCCATATAAGGCTTTGGTATTTTTTCCAATTCAAATTTTCTATAATACCATTGAACTTTAATTAAAGGGTAAATTTCATCATCATTATCAACAAGCTTGATTATTTTAATTAGTTTAGCAACGTAATCTATTCTTCTATCAGCTTTTATGCAGAGATTTTAACCAATTTTGTAGATAATCCCTTCATACTTTAATTATTTGTATGATGTTCTTTAACTATAGGGTAAATAAAAACCTGCTCTTCTTGTTTTTTTTCAATAACCGATATAGATTATTATTATCCTTGCTCTGAATCAGTTTTTATATTTTGCTTTTAAAAAGTACATTATCTTATTTTTCATCGACTGATGATGTTCTAGAGATCTTTGGTTCCAATGAGGCAGACATACTGATTTTCCTTACTCTCAATTTAGAAAAAAAAATATTAAAAAATCATAATTATTATTATATCTTTTTATATTATGTAATTAAATATTTTTATTCTTTTCATTTAAACTTCTCGTATGTACTTTAAATTTACATAAATCATGAAATAGAAGCTTTAAAAGGAAAACCTTCAGTATTGTAATCCTCAATAAATATATATAGTAAATTGCCTATTCGTTTTGAAAAATTAATTATCTTGCAATGCTTTAAATTATTAAATTATATCATTTCTAAAGGCCTGTAACAATTTAAACATTAGTTAAATCTTTATTATCAATTCTTTTAGAATTAAGATTATTAAAAAAATATAAAATTGATATGTTGCATTTTTATTAGAACATTTATATATCTAATATAAAAGTTTATTATCAAAAATGAAGAAATTCCTAATCTTATTAATTATTTTTTAAGTTACCTTAACAGCAATTTACTATGACACTGGATTATCTAGAGACTTTGATTATAGTTGGGATGCAACTTTTTTTTGTTAAAATGGTTACTCTAAAACAGCCACTATTTCATTTTCTAATACATTCGAAAATATTCCTTAAGTGTTTTTTACTCATGAAACTTTTGATTAATATGGAGGTGAAGCGGGGTTTTAATTGGCTATAACATCAGTATCTAAAACATGTAATCAATAAATCGATATTCTTCTAAGCATTTACAGCTGAAGCAAGTTGTAATAAAAGTAGAGTGTTTACTCTCAAGTTAAGATGGTTTGCAATAGATGATTAACGTATTGAAGTCATAAATAATTTCAATATGTTAAATCCAAATGATAAGACATTTTCAATTAAAAATCCAAATGCTTAAACTGGATTTGTCGTTTTAACTAGTCAACATTTTTAAGGAGCTATAGATTTTTTATTAGAAGTAATAATTGATTATAAATAAATAGATAAGTTCAATAACAACTAATTCAGTTACAGTCAGTATTACCAAAGTGGCAGGAAAATTTACAAATCTTAAGCAAGTTGGTTATATTGTTGTTGTTGGAATTCAAGAAGCATTTATTAATTTAGGGTTATAATCAGTAACAGGAGGCTTTAGCAGTGGATTAATTACAATATAACCAAATAGATGGTTTGCCATTGCATTACAAGGTATGAATTATCTAAATAATAATACTATGAGGATAAGAGCAACTTATACAAATACAGCAACAACAACATCATATACTTGGGGCACTTGTAATTATTATCCATTTATTCTAGGGACTGGTGCTGAAACTCCAAATAGCCATTCTTAAATTTGGATTTTATACTAATTTACAACTACATACAACCCATTAGAATGTTTTAGTATAAGAACAAGTAGAAAATAAGCATTTGATTTAAGCATTTTACCAACTTTCTTTTTATAATTAGTTTAAACTAATTAAATTTATATTACAAATGGTAACTATGAATATTCAGTTGATAAATCAATTAGACCACTTAAAATGAATATCTAAATGAAATGTGAAAATGGAAAGAAAGTTTAAGCAGAATTTAATAAATGTAATTCTTGTAGTATTTAAAAGACTTATTCTTTTACTTATAATTGCTTTAATTAGATGAATTACATTGGTTTCTTCCCTTTATTTTAATAAGCATCTCAACAATATAATCATTTAAAATCAATATTCAGTCATCATCACTTGAAGTCATACATGTTGTCTGTAATTAAGTCATCACAGAAAAGACTATAGTCAAAATTTAAATATTAAATTAATGAATATATATATAATAAAATAAAATAGATTTGATTGCATAATTCATCTTTTTCAAATTAAGATCAACATCACAATTATCAAAGGATTATTGTCATAGTTCGATAATTTTAAATATATAAAAACTATTAATTTATTTGATACTCATTTTTTTTTTCCCATAAAATAACGCCAAAACTAGTAATTATTTCTATTACTCCATTAATATATTAATCTGTCAATAGATATTAACAAATTTTTATTAATTTAAGATAATATGATAATATAGGATATAAAACAATAATTAGATTGAGATTGAATTTAGAATAGAAATTTTTTTAATTTAAGAAATTAATCTAATTTAAAATTGCTATCACTTCTAATGCTGCAATATTAAAGTATCTATTAAATGAATACTTAATAGAAATTTAAAGACAATTTAAAATGATTGCACGTTAATAATTTAGAACTCAATCTCAAATAAGACAAAAAAGATCCTACTCCTATTTTGATTAACCATCCTAAAGTAGTAAGAAGAAGCAATAAGAAAATTTTGAAAAAGGAAACCATTTTTTGATAGAAACATTAGATAGTGAGTCTTGAACAAAATTTATAAAGTAATTAAGAATTATTAAATTTATTTGATGTTAGATTGATTAATAATATAAAGTAGTTTAAGAATATTTAAATAATTGAAAATTGATCTGAATAATTAAGATTAGAGTTATCATATATATAAAGTAAGAGAATAATTTGTTAAAATCAAAATTAAAACAAATTAATTATTGAATTTTATTACCTTTATTTTTAATTATATTTATTAATCAATTATCAAGTATGAAACTCAATAGAGAATCATAAGAATTTGCTGATTTAGTTCTTAAATACTATTCACCAAAGATATTATTGAAATAAAAAAAATAAAAAGAAGAATAATAATAAAATTAAGAAGAAATAAACTAATCATTTGATAAAGTAGATTCAAAGACAAAGTACTCCATAGATTACTAAAAGTTTTAAAATTATATGGAAAACAGTGATAAAACTAAACCAAAAACAGCTGAAGAAATTGAAATAGAAAAAATTATTTAATCTAATCCTTATCTTTCTTAAATTGCTTGTACTCATGATAGAAGAAAAGAAAGAGAGATTTATGAAAAAACTAATAAAGAAAAATTTGAAAATATTGAATACTTTAAATAAGAAGGAAATGTGGCATTTAAAAATAAAGAATATGATAAAGCAGCCTATTTTTATTAAAAAGTAATATAATTTTGTATATTAGTTAGGCATTAGTTTATTTTGATTATACATTTCCAGAAGGGGATTAAGAAGAATAGAAATATAATTTATTATTAGAGTAATGTAATAATAATATGGCTTAATGTAAATTGCTCTAAGGTTGTTTAGATGAAGCATGGAATTATTCTCATTAAGCTTTAAAAATAAACCCAAAGAGTGAAAAAGCTATATTTAGATAAGCTAAGATTTCATATCAAAAAGATGATTTTGAGTAATGTGAAGCTTTATTACAAAAATTAAATCAAGATTTATAAGAAACAAAAGAATTAAAATAAAATTTATAAAATAGGATAAAGTTGTACAATTAAAGAAATGAACAAGTATATAAAAAAATGCTTTAAGAATGATATTTATATTTAATGTATGAGTTATATTCTGTTTAACTTTATGTTAAATAATATTTTATTTCTTTTATATATGATTAAAGTATTATAATTAAAAAAAGGACAATAAATTAAATAAGATAATACTTTAAATAATAAGAATATTTTTAGATATATCATATAGATGAATCTTCTAGTTAATTATAATTTATTATATCATTTTTTTTTATATGGATGTTCATAATTGCATTAAAAGTTCTTGCAATGAATTCCATGTTTACATTGCTGATGCATATAAATGCATTGATGTCCCTTTTTACAATAAGGAAAATATTTGCACTAAATATATATGTAAATTAAATACTTTCACTGTAGGATGAACATATTAACAATGCTTGTTGGTACAATTGGGAAAGTACCTGCATCTTTCATTGATGGTATTATTGTTCTGCTAATTAAATTTAATAATAAATTATGTACTTTTACCTATGATTTATTTTCTGTAGTTTTTTATTATTGATTTACTGCTGTTAAAAGTAAGAGTAACATCAATTAGTCAGTTTGACTAATAGAAAAATTAAATTAAATTCTACTTTTAATTTGAATGGTTCTCTTATGATATAGATTCAGGATCCTCTTCATCTTCATTTTTTATAGAAGATTTGTCATTATTTATATCATCATTAACTTTAACTTTTTTGCTAATTGATTAAGATAGTTATCTATTTTAATTTTCATTTATATCTCTAGCCTAATCATTCTTTATTGCTTGGATTGATTTTATGAATAAACTTCTATTTTTTTACTATTTAAATTTCTTAGCAGATTAAATACAATAATCCTCAAACCAATCAAATAATTCAACTTATTATGATTCAGTCAAAGGTTTCTTGAAATTGATTGATAATATAAATACATTGGCTATCTCTTGCAATGATTTCACCATTTGCCTCCTGTTCATCTTATTTGTGTCCTTATACAATCGGATAGCTTCATAGAGAAATCTTGTTAGCTAGATCCTTACTGTATCCCATATTCACTGAGATCATGAACTAGACCAGTGAGAGAAAACTTCACATTCAAATCTCTTCTGAATTATGTTTCTGATATCATTTAATATTAATTATTATAGAATAAAGTTTCATGAATTTTTGAGACATGATATAATGTTAATCTAAAATGCATCTAACTTTTTGAAATATATCCATTATATATTATTAATTATTCAACATCCTTTATGAGAATTCAAACTTTTCAAATAGATTTACTTATAAATATTGGATAATTATTATAATAATTTAAAGATGTTTATTAATTCATAAATTGTATATAAAACTTTTTACTTTATTTCATTCAGAATCTATCAACTCTACATAGCTATAAAGATCAAATCAAATATTGATCTACTTTCCAATTATTATATATACACATATAATAATAATAATTATTAACTAATAATAAATTTATCAGCTTATATTCTATGATCATAATATTAAAAAATCTATATTGATATTCAATAAATATCATGTTTTAATGATATTAGTTATTATTAATAAATATATTCCTACTTTATCAAGTTATGCAACTTATTAGAATTAATTATAATAAGTACAATTTAATCGTTAACGGATTATAATAAAAAAAATTTTTCGCCAATGGATATGTTCGTCAATAGATTATCAAATAAAGAAAACAATAATCCAGTCTTAGTGCCAACCTAATATGAAATTATGTAAAAGGAAGGAATATTTGCTAAAACTAATAATTCTCTTTATACTCATCATCGGTTTTATTATAGAAAGCCAAGACAATCAATCAATGCATCTTAATAGAACCCTGCAATTGTTCGCTCAAATAGTTTTTAATCAATCCATAAGGAAATTGAAAAAATAGCATAACAATTACAATCTCAACAAATTTATACATAGACTCAAATTAATAATAAACAACCTTTTAAAGATAGATATCCAACTTAATACTCTTAACCCTCGAATACACAAATAACTGAAGTTGTGGATATGCTCGAAAAAGAGAACTTACTTAAAATTCATTAACTTAAACCATGTACACCTAGAAAGATATTTACTCCTTAAATAAATTATAATTTACCTCCTTCAATATATGACAATAAAAGTAATGATTAAGATAACAGTGAAAAGGTTACTCCACTATTAAAAAATAAGTCTTTATTTAAAAAAACATTAAATGCTTCTTTTGATAAAGTTAAGAAAATCAATTCATCTTAAGAAAATAGATAAAAAAGGACACATTCTTAATTAATTAATAATGACACTTATAAATAATAACAAAAATCACTTAAAGATAGAATTACTAATGTAATATAAAATCCAATAAAGATTTTGAATTTATGTCAAAAAGTAGAAGAAATTTAGAATTCTATCAATGATGAATAGTTAAAGTAATTAATACAATCTGATCAATTTAAAATAGATTTATAACTTTTAATCAATAATTCTAAAGGTTCTAATACTTAAATGAAATAAATTCTTTAAAATTTTATGATAGAATAAGTCAAGAAATAGAAAGAATTACAAGAAGTGGAATTACATTTAGAAGGTATAAGTTATTTAATTATTAAATAGAAAAAAAATAAAACTTTAGTAAAATGCTTAATAACTATATTAAGGAACTTAAAGATAAACTATGATTACTTAAAAATATATTTTTTATAAATAACTTAATTATTTCCTTTTTGTATATTCCTTTTCTTTTCAATAATTGTATTTAAATAAAATTTCTCATGATTATCATATCATTATCTATTTAGATTATCCTTTTGAAATTTACTTTGATTAAAGACTTGTTTTAGAATATATTCATTTATAATATATGAAAATTAACAATTTTAATTATATTTTGAGTTATTAATATAATGAAAGCCTCAATATTTGATATTTATAAGATTTAAGTATTACTCATACATTTATTTAGTATTTATGAAGTAATTTATTAGAGATTAATTAAAATATGACAACTATTATTGAATTATAATACAAAAATAATTCAGATCAAAGGGTGCTCTGAAACAATGGATAATCTCTTTTATCTTAATGGGGATTTTGTTAATAGTAAAGATGATGTTTTAACTAACATAGGTGGTGTCATTTCTGATGTATCTGTATCTGAATCTAGGGAACGATAAGAAAATATCAATTATTTTTTTGCTTATTCAAATTTAAACTATTTTTATTATGGGTCAGTCAAGAATATTAATTTTAAATCTTACAAATAATTGATGATATCTTTTTCTTAGGAAGTAGCTTCATTTAAGCAATCATCGAATTGAATTGTATCATTCATTTTAAATAAAATATTTTATTTATTTATTCTTTTTTTAGTCATTTATTTTAATATAAATATGCAATCTGAATATTACTTTCATTCATTACCATATTTTATTTCTTATTTTAATTTGATCTAATTTAAACATGAATTAACTAAACAAGATAAATTAATTAAAATTAAGTTAAGGATGATAAAATATTACTTAATATTACGTATTAACTTAATATTTAAAAATATCTAATATTATATTCCTAAATACATTTATTTAATCATAAGTAAATTATTCAATTTAATTTATGTTGTTATATTAAATTTTAATCATTTAAACATGAATATTCAAAATATTCAAATAATAAATACAATCTATTTAAATAATTGAAGAAATTGTTATTATAATAAAAAGAAGAAATCAATTTATAATCATTTTTCTGTGAGCTCACGGTAACCTTTCCAATTGTTTCTTAAGTAAGGCTCTTCTTTTATAACTCTTAATAAAGTGTTACTAGGACCGTCTTTATAGTTTGGTAAAAGATTCTATAATAAATAAAAGAAAATTACTAAAGTTTCTTCAAAGATGAGTTTTGCTTAATCCCAATCTCCAGATAGATAACATGAAAAACCCTTTTCCCATTTATGATAAAATTCCTAAATAAGATTAATATTTTACTTTATTAAACAAAGCTCGAGATTATTTAATATTATTGTCTTTAATCCAAGTTTCAGATATTGCAACATGACTTTTCAATACAGCCTACTTTAATTTATCTCTTTTCATTCTTCTCAAAACCTTTTATTTCTTTTTTAATTTGGATTATTCAGATTCTGTAAGATTTGTTTATTTCTATTTTTCTTTCTTACTAAAATCTACAACTGTTTTTTTTTTATGAACCTTTCTAATTAAAGAATCAACATTTAAATCTACAGTATATATATTCATAGGTTCAATACTACCTTTGACAGTAACTCTATCAATATGTCTAAGATTCTTTTGAGTAATATTTGTGGCTACATTTCTCAATTATCCTGAAATTAAAATCATAGATCCAAATTATTTTGTTGCTGCTTCTAATCTAGATGCCATATTAACATTAGGACTCAAATAAGAAGCATCTATTTTATATTCTGATCCAATAGCACCTTCTATAGCCCAACCAACATGTAATCCAAATCCCATTTTAACAGAATAATTAGGAATTCTATTATTCAATCCTTCATGTTATTTATATTTTTATAACTTTTATGAAAGTGTAACATTTGTAATAATAGTAACAAATGATAATATTGCCATATCAGCTATTTATGCTATATGTTCATAAGATTTTAAACTTAAATTACCATCTTTATCTTAATAATAATCATTTTCAGCAAACTTCCACACTAATAAAAAGGCATCACCAATATTTTTATTAGCACTTCCTGAAAATGAATCTACAACACCATGAACAATTTCAGCAATTTCATTTACAAATACCATTACATCTTATTATAAAACTTCTGTAGCATCTGTAAAATTTCTAATATCACAAAATCCAAATATAGCCATAACTTTTTTTCCTGGTAACATAGGATTAATAGAAGCATTTGCACCCATATTTTATGCTATAATTTAAGATCCAGCCTCTCCAAACCCTAATGCTAATAAACTTCCTATTTTCACAATTAATTTTTATAATATAACTGTTTCTAATTTCTCATCTTCTTTATCTTCTAAAGCTTTCATTTCACCATTCTCCATCATTTATATAAATGCTTTATTTTCCTCTTCTTATGCTGCAACTAAAGGATTTTCTGATATTTTTTTAACAGTTTCCAACATTTTTTCAACAGGAGTCAATATTAAATCTTATACATCTCTACTAAACATAACTGCTGCAACTGAAAGAACAATAGATACAAAAATGGTTCTAATTATTGACAATATTGCATTTAATTCATCATCTGCAATAGTATAACATATAGATATTGCATCATTACCTTCAGAATCTGTACTTGTATAATATTACAATGAATTTGTTCTATAATGTTCATATTAATAAGGATCTTCTTATGGATAAAATATTGTTGAATTAATTTAAAAAAATACTAATCCAGTTCTAAGTGATTCATGATATTAAATAAAATCTTTAATTAGATAATCATAAATTTCAGAGTCTTTTGCCCAATATTATATGGCTTATAATCCAGTTGTAAAACTCACAGTTTAATCTAAATAAGTATTTAAATTTAATATAGGAACACTAAATAATATAAGCATTACTATTGTTATTACTCTCTTATTAGTTAATTCATTCAATTCTTTACCAATATTTGTTTCTTTTATATCTCCTTCATCTTAATGAGCATTTAATAATTTATTTGGAGATTATATTATAATGGATTTTCTTTTTTAAATAGTTGTAAGTGATTAAATTTAACCAGACATAATAATTTTTCTAGTTTATCTTCTTTAAAATCTATGATCATTTTCTTGATTAATTTAATTAGTATTTTATAATCCATTATACATCATAATAGATGTTCTTTATCTAACTATATTTTAAATTGATTATTAATGAACAACATTTGTTTCTGAAGGTTTAACATTTCTTTATGAAGAATCCACTGATTTTTAAGAAGAATGTGCATCATTTTATTATTCTTATCTTTAAGTTTCTTATAATTAATTATTATTATCCATTAAATTCTCTTCTTTCATTTCTTCTGCCAATAATTTTTCTGCTTCTTTCTCTAAAGATTATTTTGCATGTTTATATAATTTTGATAATCTCACTAATCTTACTACTCTAACTATTCTTCCAGCTCTAGTTCCTACTCTAGATGCTCTTCCAGCCCTGAATTTATATTATATATTTATAACCTTGCTAATGATACTGCACTCAATGCTGCACCTCCACTTGTACCAAAAATTGCATCACTTACCCAACCTATGTCTAATAACATTGAAACTGTTGATAATAAATCAAGCCAAAAGAAGAAACCAACAAAATATCCATCCTTATTTTTTTATCTATCTTAATACCTTACAAATAGAAGCTAAGACAATCTCAAAAAAAAAGAGAGTCATGCAAATTGTAGTAATAACCCAAAATACTTCATCACCATCCTGATTATTATTAAATATACCTTATTTGTAGCTAAGACTCGTACATCATCTCCAAATAATGCATACACAGTTACAATAGTCATAAAGATCATATAATTAAAACTTTCTAAAAAGATTTCAACTCTATGCTACATTAATATATTTGTTTTTACCCGAAATCCAAGATTACTTTCTTAATTTGTTCTAGTGCTTTTAGATCCTAAATTGACTGATTTTCTATGTGTCACTGTTCTAGTAACCTATTCTACATCTCCTTAACTATTTCTCTTATTAGGTGATGATGCATCAACTCTTGATTAAGACTATGGCTATTATTCAATTTTACTCTTTATTATATACTTCTTCGTTATTCTTCATCCTCATTATTTTAATCCATTTTATTTAATTTAATTATTTTATAAAAATGGAATCCATAAATCAAATAACAATAAGAATGGTTATCTAGATAATTAAGTTTAACATTTTAGATATATAAATAATTTCATAAATTTAATACATATAATATAATCTTAATATAAATCATAAAACTAATTAATTTAAATAAATTATTAAATATGCTTCATCATGTGCTTAATCAAACTACAAATTAATAATTAATAAATAATTATTAATTTCATTAATAAATATGAGGTTTTAAGTGTAAAAACAGATTTTCTAAAAACTATTGCATTATTTTCTTTCAAATATAATGAAATGTTCCTCTCTATTTTCTAATAACCATTAATTATATATCATAATTAAGATACCTATACAAATATTATCTTATATTATTATAATAACTAAATAAAATAAATCAATTAACTAATAACTAATTTAATATTTAAAAGTAATCAATTCTGAATTGTATTAGATAAAAGTTATCAAATCTGAATTCAATAAGATACTAATTAAAAATCTGAATTAATTAAAAGATAAACATATTGATAATAAAAATGATACAACAATAATAAACAACATTATCTGTTAACATTATGTAGAACTTATTTATTTATTATAGATATAAAATGTAATTCAACATCAATACTTACATAATTAAATAAAAATAACTTTTCATTTAAGTAATCTAATATAACAAATAATTGCAATTTAATATAATATAATATGATAATTATTTCTTAAATGAAAAAAATCAATATATTACATAAGAATTTCCTGCATAATTTGATTATTATAAAATAAATATTTATTTATGAATTATTGCTTTATTTTTTAATAAATTAATTCATTTATTATGTTTAATCCTTTAAATCGTGCCAGATCACCTTAGATTAATGGATATCCAAATCAAATAAATCCAAATCCTTAATATGGTGGAAATACATATCCATATACAGGATAATAATCACCAATGAATCAACCTTTAGTATTAATGAATTTTAACTCTAAGACATAGAGATAGTTTCCTTATCCATAATATCCTTAGAATACTCCACCCAAAAACTATCCAGTTTAATAGTCATAAAAGAGTAATCCTCCTTTTGCACAATAACCTTAATATCCACCAAGCTAACAAACTGTTTAGTCGATATAAGTATATTTAATTATGAGTATGTAGCTTCCTCCACAATCATAGCCACCTTAATAAGTGCCTTAACAAAATTATGCATAAATTCCATAGAGATCATAACAATAACTACCACAAACATCAATAGAGTCATAAAAATTACCTTTTTCATAGAATAACTTTTAACCATAAGGATAGACATATGTACCATCATAAAGTTCTGCTTTGAGTTTATCAGGGTTGAGACAAACATATACACCTCCTACATTTGTTCCTCTTCAACCTGTCATGACTGTATTATATATTTAAGAATTAGACCGTAATCTAACGACCAATTGAATTTGTGGATTTAGAGAAGTTTGAAGGACTTTGGGAAAAGAGAATGAAAGAATTGGAAGATAGAATTCGTTAATCTCAATTATAACCTGAACCTTAAGTTGTTGAATTGAGAGCTTCAAATGATGAAGAAAAAGATGCTTTAATAAAACAATTACAAGATGAACTTTATAAAGTTAGATGTGATAATGAAGAAAAGGATAGAACAATTTCTGATATGAAAATAGAGTTTTAATTGAATATTTAAACATTGAATGCTAAAATAAAATAGCTTAATAATGACAATAATGATTTAAGATAGGAATTGGATGCTTTGAGATAATAAAAATAATTTTATAAATCATAATGTGATGAGAAAGATGAACATATTTAAAATTTAGAAAGAGAAATTGAAGAACTTCGTTAACATATAGAAACATTAACAGAAGAAGTTACAACAAGTTAATCTGTAAAGACTTATGAAGAAGAAGCAAAAATATGGAGAACTAAATTTAAAGAATTAAATGATACATATCATGCTTGTTAAGAAAAATTAATATTAACTGAAGCAGAATTAGATTTATTGAAAAGACCTTAAAGTTAGTAAAAAATTGTGACTACATCTACTACTGTAGTAAAGAATAATGTTTAAACAAGTGGAGCTAAATCAGTAATAATATCAATTAATTAATTTAGGACTCTGATTATCTTTCAAGTAGCCTAACTTAATAAGATGTTGAAAGAATTCAGAATTTATCAAAAAATATTCCATAGATTTGATTATTTGCAAACAAATTATTATATTTAAAAAAATACAAAAATATCATGTAAGTATTAATTGTGTTAATCCTTTTATTTATTAAAATGGTTATCTAAAAATATCATTTCCATTATTTATAAAGAAATCTCTTCAGTCTTAATGAATTATAATAAATTATATATTATTTTATTTAATTCAATAATAATATTTTATTGTTAACTCTAGAGAATTAAATTTATTATTAATTAATTTTTTATTTTATCATTAATCTAAACAATTTATAATAATTGATTAACAATGTTAAAAAATGTTTCAGATAATTAGAATGCTCAAAGCAAATAAAGAATATTAGTTGAGAATTCATAATAAACAGATAAATAAGATATTAAGGAATAGGATGTATAATAAGAAGTATAATAATTTTGTATGAAGGTTGTTGAAATTCAGGCTAACTCAAAATCTAAAGAGAATTCCATGACTTATGATGAATTGAATACTAAATGCCAAAAGTTGGAATTAGAGTTAAAATATGCAAATTAAAATTATGAAAAATTAATAAGTAATATTATTCTCTTTAATTAATAGATAAGATTAAAATATTATAAGAATAAGAAACAGATTATTTAAATAGATTAGATGAGAATTGTACAAAAAATTCAAATTTAGGTAAAAAATTTAGTAATTAGAATCTGAATTATAAAAATAATAAGAATAGATTCTGTCTTTAGAAATGATAATAAAAGAAAAGCAAGAATAAATAAATAAATATGAAATTAAAAATAAATAATTAAGAACACAACTTTAAGAATATAATTAACTTTATAAAAAGAGAATTAAATAATTTTAAGTTTCATAAGAAATTAATTAAAATTCATAACATAATAATTGTAGATTTCAATCAATGAAATAAAATAACTAAAGAGAAGAATTAATACTAATTGAAAAATTAAGTAATTATTTATTCATTAATTATTAGAAATAAAAGATGATATAATTCTATATTTACAAAATTAATTAGCTGAGCTTTAAGTTTCTAAACTCTTAGAAAATTAAGAAAAATTAGATTAAATTAAATTAAATCCAGATATACCTGAATAAAAAATTGCAAAAAGCAGTAGTCATAAAAATCTAATTACTTAAACTTCTGAAAAGTAATTAATTCAATCTTCGATTTTAACAAATCAAGCATTACCTCCTAAAGCTGATTAGAGATTAGTTTAATCCTAATACAACTAATAAAAGTCCTCTTTTAATGCTTCAATCAATTTCAAAACTTAAGAAGACTTTCAGGGTAATAATAAATCATTACTTAATTTGAATGAATCAATCACTCAAAGCATTAATGAAGATTACCAAAGTAGCAATCGTGATTATTGATTAATATATTATCTTAAATATATATATATATATGATATTCACATTTTTTATATTTATAATAATATATATTAATATACAAAATATAAATACTTATAAATTTTAGCAATTTTCATTTTTTAATTATCAAATTTATAATCTTTAATAGTTTTCAATTCATAATCTAATTTTTTTATATGGAATATCTCAATTGATATGTTTTTATTTATATTTACACTTTAGTAATAAAATGATAAACATATTACTTTTATTTGTTTATAATATTGTCTTTTAAAGTTTATTAGTCCTATTAAATCCAAAATTTATCTACAATTCTACTAATATAATTATATTCATAAGAATCATCATAAAAAGTAAGTTTGTTGTTATTATTCAATTATTTGAATATGTAATTAAAAATAATAAGAAATTAAAAATTACTAACCTTGATATTTTTAAAGACAGCAAAGATTTAAGGTTTTAAATTGGGATACAAAATTTAATTGATAATTATATATTATTAAGTAATATATTATGGGTAATGGCTGTTCTGGCTAAAAAGAAATGACGGAAAGGTCTTATTCCTTAAGACAACCTTCAATAACTTTAACTAAATTAACAGAATAAGAGAAGATGATCACCCTTATTCCTGTTAGTTAATTAACTTAAATAGATTTACCAAATGCATTACTACCTTCTCCATCAAGACAGAGTATCTCTTTTGAATCTTTAATGACTTCTAAAGTAAGAGTACCTTCAGAAGAGAGCTAGTTTCAGAATCAATTTACTTATACTCAAGAAGTTAAGTTAATAAAAAGGAAAAGTGATTAACCACCTCGTCCTTAAATTTAAGTATATAAAAAAGAACATAAAAAAAAGGAAGTATATGAAATAATACCAAAATATCATTCTTCAAG